TAGAGAAGCGAAACTTGCTAATAATGTAATCAGTTTCATGCATGAGAAAACGAATTATTATAATATTACATGAGTATAGTTATATTGTATGTAAATAATATAATGTATACTAACAATATCGAATTTTAAATTTTGTAGAGATACGATAGAGCTTCGTGCGTTTGATCGCCCGATAAATTCGAGTAGCCCAACAATATATCCGATAACTCGATAAATTCTAGAACTTGCGAACTCATGCGCTTTAGGTTACTCGATAAGTCCAGATTACCTGCTAATCGTTTCGGACAAATTGGATTACATTGGACGCTCTTATAGAGTAAGAGAGCAAGAGAGAGAGAAAGAGAGAGAGGAGGAGGAGGAAAGAGAGAAAGTAAACTCCGCGACAAACTAATTTCGCCGAGACGGCGAGAGACAAAGTCATGCTTTAAAGCAACGGATTGTTCAGGATTTTCGTGAAATCGGTTTTAACCTGAGCGCCGTCCGTGTTATACGTGAAAAGTCGATGTTAAAATGGCTCGTCAAAGTCGGATGGCGTCTTTTTAATAAATTGAACCCTCGAAATGCGATTAGGTGTAAACACCCTGTTTTAAGGGAAGGAAGAGCAACGCGAGGGGGACGCGCCTCATAACACGACGGGCGGCTTTCGTGAGTGACGGCAGATAGACAGCCGGAGACTTCGGAGTTTCCCCGGCGATGCCACGGGGACGAACTCGGGGGTGACAGATGATTTAGCGCCGATATTCCCCGTGTCAATATAACATCGTGGGCGGAGAATTACCTGCCCGAAGTGTGCCACGCGAATGTCCTCGTTTTTCCTCCTCATGGGCTCGTTCTTAATCTAGATATAAGAGTAATGTAAGTTAATAGTAATTGGATTTTCATTAAATTAATTTCGGCATAGTAAAAAGCGCGTATTTCCTAAAAACGATAGTATTTCCTAGGTATAATTCCGTAGGTACATATTTTAATACGATTAATATTAACATTTTTATGAATTTAATTTTTAAATATTGTTCACGATTAGGGATTCTTTCTTGCTCAAAATTTATGGCGCACCGTTTGAAATACGAATCCCGCGAGTGAATTAGGATTCTCTCGCGGGAGATGTTCCACCGTAAAAATTTGCCGCGCTGACAAGTTACGTATTCCCATCGCGTTGTGCGAGAGACCTCCGTGCAGCGCGAAATCCAGAACGAGAAATCGACCGACCGACGGATGGACGATCGGTGTCGAATTTGATGAATCTAGTTTGTTAAACCGCGGGAGCACGGGATTCGTGCCGGTGTGGGTGGGCGCCGCGAGGGGTGTGACGAGGGTAAGAAAAATGACCGGCCCGGAAGAGGAGATCCTTTACCGGTGGAATTCGAGTGTCAATCCATATCCCCCTTTTTCCTCTGATCCCTTTTATCCTCGGGGACTTGGTCATAGAGCGGGTGGAGCGGGCGTAGGAAACGGAAAAGAAAAGTGGCGTCTGATCTCGGGGAGGATGTAACGCGCGAGGAGTAACAAGATCGTGAAGGATGAAGACGAGAGCGAAATTACATCGGAAGTCCGGGCGACGTCATCGATATTGACTTCGCTGTTTACTTATTGAATTCACTTTGATGCGTTGCTTAATATCTGAAGGAAAATAAAGGAAATAAAATTTCAGACAGGGCAGCGCGTTACGAATCTTAACGATATGGCACAAAATTTGTTTAAAATTTTGGTAATTATGATTAATTTTTAATTATACATTTTATATATTATATAAGTATTTATCTATAAATTAGTAATGAATTTTGATATTTATAATATTAATGAAATAAATTTGTTATTGCTTCGATTAGTATATCGATTGAATGCGCGCTTAAACTTTATAACGATAAAATAAGTTCCCATCTCAAAAGTGTATCGCAAAGACATCAGATATATTACGAATCTTTCGTTGCGCGCCTCAAAGCGATCTCGAATCAGGATCAAATGGAGATTCTCGGGGCCTGCCGGGCGCGTCTAACATCTGCGCCGGCAGATATCGTGGTGCAACATCGAAGAAAGTAATTGATATCGTTGGATTGAACCTGGGTGCATTTTCGATTTTCAGCGCAAGGGAAGATCGGTGCGCGAACTCGGTGCACTCGCGTTAATCTCGACAACCCAATCCGTCGGATGTCTTTCTTTTTCGCTCGTTGTCTGTCGAGGATTGCTTCAGACTCGATTTCCGCCGAAACAGCGCGTACAACTCGCTCGAGGCTCTCACCTCGATTACGCTACATACTTCCCGGTTTATTTTTTGGTCGACGAACACGTCGCTCGCGTACAAATCTTCCTCCGAAACGGTCTCCGATATATTTTTATTATTATTCTTCGAAATATGTGGATGCCTCTTATAGAATGTAACGCGCGAAGTTCCTTATTTGCTATTAGTGATCCCGATTAGAGCTTCGCATTTGCTATAAGAACCGGCCCGAACTGCAATTTGCAATTATCGTTCTTTGTATAAATGCATCTTACATATATATGAGAGAGAAAGAGAGAGAGAATGATTATCATTTTTTTCTTAAGGATATCGGATATGATAATCCCGCGGAGCCGAGAGCCCTTCTATCGCCGATCCGAACACTTTTCGCTTCGCCCTTTACACGGCCGCCCTTGCTGTCTCATGGGCGATGCAGGCCGCTCCGCGGAATTCTTTGAAAAACTACTTCGTAAAATTGGGGACGCGGCACGAGCAGGGAGGAACGCGGCGGCCGAATGAATAATAAATACGGTTATCGTTTAGTTGATATTTTGAAGAGGGGGCGCGGACGGAAATTCCCCGCCTGTCCCCTCCACGCCGAGGGATCGGAGTGAGAAAGGGATCAAAGCGGATCGGAGATGAAGGCCAGGGGAGATCCGACCTCTCGTTACATTTCTGTGCGCCAATTGCTCGAGATAACCCGGCCGCGAATCACACGGCGTATCGATGGCGACAATATCAATCGCGACTATCATCCGCGAATATCGCAATTGAATTTATAGAGAGCGTTAAAGCTTCTACACTAAAGCGTGTAATCACATTACGAGCATGATGTTGTATCGTGGAGAAACAATGTATAGACATACGATTCGCAAAAAGAAGGGCAAAAATGAGATGAAGACAACTGGAAAATCATTATAATGGATCGTGACAATATCTGGAGTAATAGTATCTGAAGGAAATCGTTAGTGATGCTGTATCAGTAAAATTGACTGGATAAGAGAAACGTGTAAAGAGCTGCGAAATTTCAGTATTTATTTCCTCGGTGTAAGACCAATATATTTTTAATTATATACATTATTCAAGTTTTTTTTATGTGTAACTCTATATTAAAGATATTGTATGTTATTTAATATAATATAAATTGGTATATCAACTATTTAATGTTATTTAATAGTGTTACATGTATAAAACTATATTAAATTTTATATATATGTATATATAGTATATATATCACCTCGGGGCTCACAACGAAAACGCGCCGGGGTAGTTAGTTTCGCTCTCTCCGGTGTAGGATGGCCGGGCGATGGAGCGGCTAATAACGATAACGATGCCAGAAACGATAATAGAGTTGGGGGTTTCCGCGGTTTCCACGGCTCTCCCAGGGCGCTGATTGCTGGAACGGTGCACGGCGCTCGGTCTCGCCGTCGGGATGCATCCAGCGCAACGGCGATGCTGTGTCTCCCGCTTTCCGGCAATCGCTACCGCTGCGTCGAAACGCAAACCTCCCGATGCATTAATTTGAATGCAGGATATTCAAATCGAATCAATCTGAAGTCAACTTTTATTTTATACAATGAAAAACGTTATCCTCCTTTTCTCTTCTTTTAATTCTTTAAGCAATCTCCAGATATGTCTTTTCAGAATGTTTTATATTAGAAAAAATATTTGATAATTTTTTTGAAATTATATTTGAGAAAAGAAATATAAGCGTAAAATATCAAAGTAACAAAATGATAATTAAAAATATAAATGTCCATTACGAAGGGAGACAAAGGGTAGAGAATGTTAATGAAAGGAAGAATGTTAATGAAAGTCCAAGACTCAAAGGCCTCCTCGTCGTCAACGTCGTCATCGTCGTCGGCGCCTCGACCTCGGCCGCGGCGATGTATGCGTGCGAGTGCAGACGCAGATGGAGGCTGTAACGAGTACACAATGCGATGCAAATTGGTTAGACTCGGTATGCTGTGCCGGGCCAGTCAATCGCCCGGCTGGTTGCCTCCAGTCGCGGTGGTATCGCGCGATGGTATTACTAACATCGCTATTCTATTATGACGTTACGACTAGCAGCAGCAGCAGCAGCAGCCTATTACGATGCCGGCTCCCTCCCCCCAGGCACTCGATTCGCGATAACTCGTTAACGGTCATCGAGACTCTCGCCGGAGAGACAATACCGGAATGCCTGCCCGCCCGCGGCCGACTTCCCGATTGATTCTCGTTACACATTCGACCGATTCTCTCGCCTCAATTGGCGGTCCCAAGTTGGAAACTCGGCGCTTTTTAACGCCTCTGACAATATCCCCCTTCGAGACACCCTAATTGCAGAGATCTGGCAGTATTTTTTACATTGACATGTGACAATTTAAAAATTAAAAATAGATAAATGTATAAAAATTTTTTTAAAGCTATATGAAAACCGCTGGTCCTCAACGGTATCTAATGAATATTAAAGGCACGTTTATGATTTAATTTGTCAATTAGAAAAAATCTACGGCTCTTGTAATGATCCATATTGTGAAACGTAATGAGGAAATGTTGGAACTTTACTGTCTGATGTGGTAAAACGAAAAATCGATATTTCTCGAGCACGCCGCATCGAATTTATTGATTATTTTCTTTACTTATTTTGGCTCATTATATCAACTCCTTTGGGAGATTTTGCTTGTAAAATTTTTCGTATAACCGTTATAATTGCATTGTAACTATAATTAAATATTAATTTTAACGACCCAAATGTTAAAAGATAAAACATAAGAATGATAATAACTTATATAATTCAATATTTTTGATCTGAGAATCAAATTTATTAATAACCAAACTACATTTCTCTCGGAGTAGTTGCAAAGTAATTTTTATTTTCTTATATTATTTGAGGTATTTTCAGCATGTAACTTTTATCTATTATATCTTTCTTTTTTTTTTAACACACTGACACATTGCTACGAAAAATATACTGTAACAATCAACAAGGAACATTATCAAAAATAAAAAATATATATTATATTAAAGATAGTATATATAACGTATATATAGAAACATTAGAAACATACGTGTTTAGTATAAGAACGAGACGTGTATTTTTAGATTACTCAGCAATATTGAAGCAATATTTCTTTTTAGCTGGTCGCCTGATATCTTCATCGGTGTCATCCAAATTATACCTTTTCTTACTTGATGTAGCTCTGAACAAACCACTGGTCGATTCTCGAAATTGATTAGGACGTCGCTCTTCCTCATCGGACTCATCTTCACTCTTAATGTGCAACAGACCCATAGAATTCATATCGTTGAAGTCAGAGATCTTTACCGTGGTCATCCCGCTACGAAAGAATCCAATTCATTTTTTATTTCGGTCCAAGTTTTCAAAAGAAACATATATTCCTATATAACATACTTCTGTTTGCGATAAAGCTCGTGGAATTGCTTGTGATTATTCAAATCGGCAAGCTTCTGTAGGAACTTTTCATCATGGCTGATTATAATCAATTGGAAATTCTTCTGATGTCTCGACCGCAATTCGACTACCCTGCAACACGTATCATTCACAATTCAATTATGGTATTTACAATTATTCGAGCGCCATTTTATGCAGCAGACAAAAATGTATGCGTACTTGGTTAGCATATCCGCTAAGCTGTTCGCGTTTTCCTCGTCCAGATTTGTCGTTGGTTCGTCCAACGCGAGAATGCCGCAATTCTTGCAGAATGTTTCCGCCAAAGCGAGTCTTATAATTATCGACGCCAGTACCTGTAAAAAAAAATTCGAGTGTCAATATGACGCGTCTCACTGATTACGCGTGCTAAATTGCCCGACACGAATACCGATTACCTTCTGTCCGGCACTGCAACGTCCTTTCATATTCATCTTACAGCCGTGCTTAGTTTGAATCAGTTTGTAGTTGTAGCTTCTTCTTTTACTGCCCACACCATCTGTAGGTTCCATGCAGATCTCTATGCTGCTTGTATCCGTGCCCTTGTAAACGTGCTTCCACAACCTCCTCATTATCTTATTGACCGTCGACATACGCTCCTCGTGGTACTTGATCATCGCATCATCCAATACTTTGCTGTAAGCTGTCAGATTAGCTATAGTATCTTCTTGAACCTAGTGAAAAAAAAAAGTTACACAAGTCAGATCTGCTGCTCGAAATCACAATTAACGTGTTCAATTGATATAGAAGATTATTATATTTTGCGATATTATATAATACTTCACCGTTAATTCAATACACTTGTTAGTATAATTCCGACGAGCTAATCGATATTCCTCTTTCTGTAATTCATGTGTGTACTGGTTGATTACTCTCTCCAGCTCTTCCTGATTTCCCCACGCGACATTCCTCTAAAAACGCGATCGAGAACAAGTCGTTATAATTAATATAAATATATAAATCTTAAAAGTAGATTATATAATGTCACTTACTTGTCGAAGCAATATTTGCTTCTCGTTTTCTAACTGTTCCCATTTCCTCGTCATCTCGTTATAATCCATATTTTTCAGCTTTTCGTTCAATTTTCTATATTGCTCTTGCAGAGTTTCTAGGACCTCCTTAATCTTACGCAAGCTCATATTGTCCAGTAACTCTCGCTTTCCAATCTCTTGGGAGACAATGTCCTCCTTCAACTTGCTTATCGCTTGCTCTACGTCCTTTTTCTTATTCATAAGTTCAGTTAGCGAATTCTTGTAAGTCTCTATCTCGTCCTCGAAGCTCGCGAGTTTCTCGAGTACGTTGCTGCTAACGAAAGTATTGATCTCGTCCAAAATTTTATGCAAATCGGACAAACGTCTGACACTTTCCGACATTGATTTTCTATCGGCTTCTTGCTTTTGCCAGTTCTCTGCCTGCAAAAAAAAAAGAATGTCTCGGCATCTTCACATTTCCGTTTCGAATGCTCGTGAATCGCGTATGAATGAATACGACATTCTCATATTCATTTTATGTATTACCGAGTGCCTCGTTCGGAGATATTACAAAAAAGCAAACCTTGGTCTTTTCCAGCTGCCGACTTCCAGAATCCAATTGAGTCTCAGCGTGTGCAAGATCCTTCCGTAGCTTGTCCACAGTTTCTCCTATGGTAATTTCTCGCGTGTACAAATCGTCCTGCTTGTCCTTCAAATGTTTCAACTTCTGCATATCAGACTGTATTTTCAATTGCTCCTCGTGCAACTTGTTATACATCTCTCGAGCGTCCTGCAATTTCTCGTTGTGCTTGGTTAATTTGAGTTGCAACGCGTCAATATGATTACGAGTTTCTCTAAGGGATGTCTTCAAAGATTCTCGCTGCGCCTGTGCTTCTTCTATGGTCCTTTCGGTCTTTATTCCTACGCAGATGAACACTAATTAATAATCATAAATTATTGAAATATGAAAAAAAATATATATATATACATAACATTACCAGCACTGGCCATTTGAGTTTCCAACTTGGTAACGGCTCTCTTCAATTCCTGTATTTCATCTATGCACCGATCCCAGAATTTAATATCGCCAATCATATTTTTATATAGGGACAACATTTTCTCAGGCTTCGCCTTTGACTCCTCTAAATTCTTAACGGCCATTTTTGACTGCGCTACACTGTTCTTTGTCTTATTTAACTTTTCCCTATAATTGAAAAAGGAATATTAATATGTCAAATGTATTGAAATTGTAATTTTAAAATTCACAAAGTTCAATTAATATACAATTAAGCTCACTCACTCTAACATTTTCAAGTCGTTTTCTTCGCATTGTGTGATTTTCTCGACAATAGGTTTCAATTGCAACATATTGTCGTATTTATCCTGTTCTCTACTTAACTCTCGTTCACATGACTTTAAACGACTGGGTTGATTACTTATTATATCACTTTCGATTTCTTGTATTAAATCTGTGACTTTATCCTGCTTCTCAAAATTTCTATGACACAAGGGACAACAAGGATCCTTCACGGATAACTTTTTAACATATTCCTTGTAGGCTGTAGCTTGGTAAGCATAGATTCCTCTCTTGTCCTGAAGATCCTTTACCTTTGTCGATTGCATTAACAAAGTCTCATCGAAATCTTTGTAATCGCACACCGCAGATATCCTTTCTTTATCGTCTAGAAAAGAAAGAAACATTCAAAATAATCACGTGAACAAAGTTTTTTTGTATGTGCACATAAAAAATTATAAAATTGTAAAAAATAAATTATATATATAAAATATTCTTACTGTGTAGTTCTATCGTCTTTTTCTTAATATCGGATTCTATATGCCGTGTTGTTGTCTCAAGAGATGCAGTTTTACGTTCTTGTGCTTGAATTTCTCGTGTTAAAGAATTGGTCTCTTTTTCCTGAAGTTGATAAGCAAGTGAGATTTTTACGAACACGCAATATATATATAAACAAAAAATTAATTACCGTACCAATCTCTGGTGAACGCGTTCCAGAGTATCTTTCAATTTCGTTTGCTCCAATTCTTGGGTATTCAACAGTATCTTGATGCTGTCTCCATGCTTTCTCTTCAAATTCTCCAACTCCTCTTCCTTAGCTTTCAATGCCGATTTCTTTAACTCGAACTCCGCCGTTAACGAACTTAATTTATGTAGAGAAGTAATCTCGTCATCGATCGCGCTTAAACTTGCTTCAATCTTATCTCTAGATTTTATTTTTTCTGTGATGTCCGCTTTAATAGAATTGACATCCATCGCGTTGCCAAGTTCGTCAATTCTTTGCTTTGCCGTTTGAAGTTTTTGCTCGAGGGACTTCAACTTATTTCCTGCTGCTCCAATCTAGAGTAAAAAAAATTGATTGAATAAACAATTACTTCTTTCATAAAAGTAAATATTTTTATTACAAGAATCCTTAAGAAAATACTAACCTGCGCTATCTGGTTTCGAATTGCGTCTAACTCGTCTCTAATCTCTGTTATTTCCTTCTCCTTGAGAACTTTCTGCGAATCGAGCTTTGAATAATTGCTACGCAGCATATCAACTTCCCTCTGTAACTCTTTCTCCTCTCTCTGCATGGCCGATCTATTTTCCTCCACTTGCTTCTCTAACACCCGCATCTTTTCTTCCAGTCTTTTCGTAAGCGCCTTCACCTCTGCGCACAAAATTTTTTGCACGATTTAGCAAAAGAGAAAAAAAGAAACAAAGTAGCCTATAAATTGGAAAATCACATGAAATTGATTATCCTTAAATGTACCTAATTCAGACACGTCCGATTCGACCAATGTGTCGAAATCCCAAGCTTGTAGTGCGTCGTTCAATAATTGATTGCGACGAGCCACTCTTCTCTCGTGATCTCTCACCTGTTGTTTCAATGTACCTACAGTTTCCCTTCGCGTCGCTAAAATATTCGAGATCCTATTTCCTTTTTCAGAGATAGCTTTAACTTGGTCTTCATTCTGCGAACAGCAAATTAATATGTAATACATATAAAGATACCCATTACAATATTTAATATATATACCTCTTCTATTTCGACGGTTTTCTCCTGTAGTGCAGTGTCATACGATTCTATGCGTACATTTAATTCCTCTGTTGTTCCACTGAAGATATTCTTTATGCTTTTCTTCAGTTTTTCATATCGGTCCTTATGCATATTGAATTCCATCTTCTTTTTCTCTGAAAAAAAAAAAAAAAGAAAACGCTTTTTTCTTTACATTTTCTTTTTTTTAATACATTTCAACGAATATTTTTTTTCAACTTACCTTCCTCAGACTGGATACTCTTATACTCCGTATGAGATTTCTGCACTTCGTCGAGCTTTTGTTTCAAGGGTTCAAGCTGCTTATCGATGTCACTTATTTTCTCCTTTGCAGTATCCAATCTTTTCTTTTGGTCTTTCAATTTAGTTTCTTTGTCATTCGCTTCAGACACAAGCACTTTGAAAGTCTTCTTCTCAGCATTTATAGTTTTAATATCTGCTTGCAATTCTTTCTGAAGTTTCGAAATGGACTCCAGGGCTTTGTTAAATCTCGCGCTGTCAAATATTTCGTCGAATCTCTCCTTTAACTTTTTCCCCTCGTCAAACGGCCAATTAAGCTCGTCTTGATGGCAAAATATAACGTAATGCAGGATTGATTTTGAAACACCCAGTGCTATACTAACTTCCATATCAACGTTAGCACATCGATTGGTTATTGAATCTTTCTGTGACAGAGAAATAAAATAATTGATGAAGTACAGGAATTCAATAGGATTCAATTTACCAAACTTGATACAAAGTAAATATTCACCTTATCCTTGCTCTTTCTGGTTACAGTGCTATCAAGAGTCTTGATATTTTTTTTATCTCCTTTTGATGACTCAATTGTTCTAGATACTATGTAACTAGTACCCATATTATCGATTATCTCACACTTGACAACACCTCTCACCTACGATAATAAATCTGTCTTTATTTCCTTAATTCTTCAGAAAGTTTAAATAAAAAAAAAAGATTTGATCATAAAGCAAAAAATGAAAAAGACAAAGCTGACTCGAGTCTAATGAGAAAATTTAATATGTACTAATTTTGCCATAAAAACTATAAAGGTTTTAATCTAAATTCTGATACATCCAATTATTTCTAATTATCCAAACATACATGTAACCATAGATATACATAGTACAAATATATTTAATATAGAATAATGCAATAGAGACGTAAATATATATAAAGAATATAAAAATCATAATAAATTAATATGTAATTAGTGCCGTCGTACCGAGCCGGTGGTCGCCAGCATGGGATCGTGTATGAAGGACCTCCCTTTATCGCAATCCGGTGGAAACTGGCCGGTCGTTGCATACTTCAACGCCTCGATGATGGTCGTTTTCCCGGTTCCGTTCGGGCCCAGGATCAGCGTCAACGGGCAAGAGAAGCGTATCAACGCGTCCTCGCTGTCGTCGCCGAAATTACGAATGCCGCGAAGCGCGAGCCTCCGTACTTTGGACATGTTGTCTCGGTTATCTCCTCTGATCGAGTGACAGTGCCAACGGCTCGCTCATCAGCCGCAGCCAATATCTCTCGTCGAAATGGCCTTCGACGTGATCGCTCGTCTCTGCTACTGGAACCGATACTCCTTTCACATCTAATCAGATGAGGAAGCAATGACATACACGTGAAAATCGAGAATACGCATTTACATACGTGTACAAAATGACTCGGTCAGACAGGTCCAAGCCTGTTCAAAGACACTCAACGATAAAAGGCGCCAAACGCACCGCACGGCGCACGGCGCAGTCTCGGCTGTCTCGGTACTACGCAGCAGGTGGTGGGACTGGTGGGAGGGGGACTTAAAAGGGCGTTCCGAAATGTCCGTTCCGAAAAATAATGAAATTTCGGTACGCACCTTAGGTGTATTCGTTCGTCTTTTCCTTCCGGCGGTCTCGGTTCATTTGTCAAATGAGATTAAATTTAATTGTCTCTGGGGAAAAAAGAGCTCTCGAGATCTTAGAAATTTTTTATTCAATAGCTAATCGAGCGACGCACGAGACACAAAATACAATTTAATAACATAAAAATATAATTAAAGCAGTAAAAATTGAGCTGAAAAAAAATTGCTGACATTTCAAAAGCTAACCTAAAAAAAAAGAACAGACCTATATCTAACAACACTTCCACGGACGATTACGTCATTTCCGACCCGGCGTGCGCTCGGCATAATTCAGCCCAGTTCAATGCGTGCGTCGTGCCACTCGTGCCACCGTTCCGCGCGATCGTTCTCCCCGAGTCTCGTGTTCCAACGGAGAGACACAGCTATCAAATTACCCTGACGAGATGATAGACTTTCGCACTAATCCGGGAAAGACGGACGTCGACAATGGAAGGTACAGCAACACCAACATACCGGGTAAGAGATTTCGGGCATCGCGCACGATATTTTTGGAGCTGCTCCAAACTTTTTTCCGTCGCGGTTTTTTCAACTTTCTTTTTTATTTTTCTAAGTAAGAAAGTTCCTTCGGACGTCGACGAGAGCGTAATTCTGTCGTGTAATTCTGCATCTCCAAAAATCGCCAGGCATGATCATTTTGCTCATTTAATTATTTAGCTCTGTAATGACGTGTGCTTCTAACCTCTTTACTGCGTCTATGAATCTATAGCTGTAGTTTCTTTTTTTAAATATCAATGACAATGACACTTATAAGACTGTCGAGGAAATATATGTTGTATCTATATAAATTGATGATAAATGGAGACCCGTGTCTATTTTGGAAAAGTAAAAGATAATAGGTCTTGTGTTACATAAAAGAGGCATAAAAGGACAGCTTAGATAATAAACTGAATTGACGAATTACAAGCGAATTACGAACAATAATTGAGCTCACTCGATATCTTACGTCGCTCGCGTGTTAAGTGACACTTTATTTTTATTTTTCAGTCACATCGCAACAAGGTTTAGCATCGCTCAGTCCGTATTTGAATTTCGACCCGTCGTACCTTCCCGTCACTCAGCCGGAGTTTATATTTCCTGACGGTGCTGTGAAGCAGAGGGGCCGCTTCGAGTTGGCTTTCAGTCAAATTGGAGCCGCGTGCATAGCGGGCGCGGGGGTCGGTGGTGCGTCAGGTCTGTACAGAGGCATCAAGGCGACGTCAATCGCCGGCGAGACTGGAAAACTCAGGAGAACACAGTGTGTCTCTTTCTCTTTTGCATTTTTATACCTTTTTGATATCTAAAGAATCGTGCATGTTATGTATGCATCTTTTCCTTCCAGATTGATCAATCATGTTATGAAGGGTGGCGCCAGCATGGCGAATTCACTCGGAGTGATAATGATAATGTACACCTGCGCTGGAATAGGTCTGACTTGGCTTAGAGGAACCGACGACAGTTTGAATACAGTAGCTGCAGCTGCCACAAGTGCTGCGGTGTTCAGATCGCCTGGTATGGAGTGTGATTCGATGCTTATATATATATTTTGCGTGAATTGTACTTCTTACGGTAAAGTGATGTATGTTTTTTTAAATTTTTTAGCCGGTATCAGGAAAGCCGGTATTGCAGGCGCAATTGCAGCAGGGGTTGCAGTGATGTACTGTGCCTGGAATAATGGAGGCTTTTCGTTGCAGCATCGTGTGAATGGATGGAAACATGCGGCGTAAGAGTGTGTACATATTTTAACAAAAGGCTATATTAGTGTCGAATATTTCTCCATATAGATATTTCATTGCCACTGCTGCCGCAGCAATCGAACGTACAAACAGTAGTGTTGTAATGTAAAAAAGTTAAAATTTTTATAAGCTACATCTATATATTAAAAAGACACGGCGATAAGATACACATCAAAAATATGAATACTACTTCAAATGTTATGATTTAAAGTTATACAGAGAGATCTGAATTTATAAAATGCTTTTTTACGGAGTCTAGATAGATAATGCAATGTAAAATTTGTGCAGAATTTTTATTCGTTCGAGAATCTTATTCTATTAATGCCAGTGTCTTTTTTGTACAGAATTTTATAATTATACATATATTTTTTATTAAATATATGTATAAATTAAAAAAACTATATATATATATTCTTTACATTGTGTACAAATATTTTAAGTAGGATCTTACAATTGAATTCTTAAGAAATAAATATTTATTAAGGTCACCAAGAAGTTATATTAAAGAAATTGATTAAATAGATGAAATATTGTTATTAATTTATAATATTTTATCGTTAAATATATGTTAAATTCTATGATTTAAAATATATAATAAAAATAATTGTTTTATATTTTAAATATTATAATTTAATAATGCAATAATTAATCTTGTTAACTGATCGAGATTTATAACGGTTAAGTACTATGATAATATTTTTACAATAGAAAAACTATTGTTATTGGATAAAAGATATATAATGCACAAATTAGATTAATATTCGTGAAGAGAAGTAATTCGAAAATTTTATTTGCTTAAAATTTCTAAATGTGACTTATCTCTTTTTATTGTCCAAATGGCCAGTACAGCGTTTTATAAATAAATTATTTTCTAGAATAATAATGATTCCCATTTTTTTAATTATTTCTCATCGCGCTATAAATTAGATATAAACTAGCAATTAATATACATATAATGCATGTAAACATTTTATGAATAATGTATAACAATATAGAGGAAATTTCTCACGCGGGAATATCAAGTTTAATGAATAGGCTAATGTAATTTCTTTCTTTTTTGCAGATTGATATAACAAATTGACATCCGTACTGTAAAAGAGATCTCCGATGCGTTTTCATATTCTCATGTTACCTTGTACATAGAATAACTTACCGTACGACACAAATAAATTATTAAAGGGATGTTAGAACAAATAAATTATTAAAACAATCAACAGTGCGTACTTTTAAATAAACGTACTGATGCAATGTGTGCATATATTTACGATTTAACATATTGTATATATTTGTCGGATAATGAGAGATAAACCTCTTGCGCCAATACAAATGTAAAATTATAATTCTGAACCACACGCACGCTTTTGCGCGATCAATGGCAGTTTTATTTGTCGGACACAACGATTGCCAGAAAGGCTTTAATCTTATCAAGGTTTATCTCACTATCAGGTCTCGCGCAAGTCGGAAACGGGAATTTCTCACTGATCAGAGCGTATTCGACCGTGTATACACGCGTATGTATCGATGTATAAAGTAGTATCTGTTATAATTCATCAGTGATTGAAAGAGCGAATAGGCGTATAGATTTCCTGATAAGAAAAATTATAGAAAATTATTTGTGTAGCCCGCACAATGGTATGCAATTTTCACGTCGAAGCCGTCGTATGAGAAACAAAGCGTGTTGCATTACATATCGATAACAGGGAAGAATAATCCGAGTTTTGTGGACACTTTGTGAAGTAATTTACGTGTGACCGATATATATTTCACAGGTAAGAAAATTGTTGCGATTGCAAAGGCATGTGTCTATTAGAATGCACAACACTCTTATCTATTTAATGTTGCAAAGGCGTTTATCAGTTTCAAATATAGCTGGTGATACATATTGAAACTTTCTAGATAATCGTGATGTTTTCGGATCGCGTGAGTCATTTTATTCATTAGTCGTTTTCTCGTATTTTAAAGAGAAAAATCTGAAGATTAACCAAGAGCCGAAAAATCTTCGATTAAGAAAAGAAGATAAAAGATCGAGTTGCTTCATTCATGTGTACTCAGGATAAAAGTTTCTCTGTTTGCAGAACGAGGCGTGCGCGACTTTCATCAACGACGCGTTATCGCAAGTGGGCAATAATCGGTTACCCAATTAACGAATTAATTATCCGTGAAGAAGAGGTACTCCGCGTCGCGCGGATAGTGTGGCAATAGGTGGCTGAGCTCATCGCGCACTTTGTGAGTCAATATTTGACCCGCGGGATCCACGACCGTGGTCAAACGTTGCTTGTAGGCGATGAGAGAATATTTACGAAAATGTGCGGATTATTTAAACAGGAACACACGTGCGCGCGTAAATTCTTGCGTATACAATGTGTTATTGCACGAAGAGCAAGAGGCTCAGCCGAGAGTAGTCACTTCGGATTCTCCGACGCTGATGGACGTGATTCTGCATGAGATATTTGAGGAGAGCAGTTAAGTTTTCAAGTTCAAAATCATCGATCTTCTAAACTTTAACAAGATTTCCTACAGCTCTATAATCATTGGTAGCAATCTGTTCTTCGGAAACGATTCGGTTTTTATATGGGAAAAAAAAATTAAACAATTTTTTCCTTTTTCTAAGAAATTTATATATAAATGTCTCGATTCTTTTAATAATTTTATCTGTAAAAACATAAATCGAAATGATATTTATTCTCTTTAAATCTCTTTAAAAAAGAACGGAAAATAAAAATTTATTTTTATTTTCTCTCTGATGAATGTCCAAAATCATCACAAAGTTCTTCTCGAATTGCATGTATATTGCACGCCGTCTGCGTCGCATCCTGTAACTTTTTTCGAAATGTCAATGTTTAACTATCTCCTATGAAAAAGCAGATGATGCTAATTAACCCTAATTAACACCTCTACGTCTAGCTCTGCTAATATTGGCTAGATAGAGAATGAAGAGAGAATTTTATTACCTCCGTTCAGCATTCATCAACGTAAGTGCGGTCGACCTGTTTCCTGCAGTCAGTGTGTTATCTTCGAGCCTTGCAGGTGCACATATGCATATTCGAATTGTCTCGCGAGTGCTTTATCATTTACACGAGTCGCGGTCCCGCCACTTGTTTACGTTTCCCAAGTTTGATTAATGGCCCAACGAGATACACTTTCCAAGCTTCGTCATCCGCTTATCACAATAGCTCGTGCGGCGAAAATTAGGGCAACGAATGCTTTCGTTGAGTAACGTGTTATTTTTATTCTAATTTCTTCAGTTTTTAGTTTTTAGTAACTTGAATTTTTTGTAGCGCGTTCTGTAAATCGTACTTCTTTCAATATTCCGCCGTAGAGTAAAACATACAGAAAGAAAACAAATATTCTTGAGATAATTCAACACACATGTTATTAGTTTGCAAGTCTCGCCTTCAGGCCAGCTCCAACGACACGTTGATTTTAACTCTCGTTAACTATATTTAACTAATTCTCCGGTTTTTTTATTTTATTTTAGATTCGTAATATCGATCCGCTACAATATGGACAGTGCTGGATAATTCAATCAATTAGTACAAGCGTTAATCGATATACAAATAGGACGGGATTATCTTCAACCTGATACTACTATAGTGAAGATACTACTATACAAAAATACAGTAGGTATTATTATATAATAAATATAAATTTATTATAACATTGCATTAAATTTGTTTGGTGAGGGCTCTTTAATCTTTTACGGGAAAGTGAAGAATATTTTTAACAGAAAATACTCTGATTTAACGTTTAAAGTACAATATTAATTCACTTAAAGTTGCAGAGCAGAGTTTAATACACGAGACATCATATTACGTCGCGTTTTATGTTATTTACAATGATATGGTGAAGACACCGCCGCGTCAATGATGGAAAACTGATCTCGGTCGGATGCGCGAAGCTGGGTGTGCGCGCGCGATGTAAATACCTAGATGAAATTGAGAGGCTTAATCCGCCGAAAATAGATCTGTCGAACATGGAGAAACAGCTTCTCTAAAATATTTATGCCGTTCTCAAGCTGTTTCGCGTGTTTTAGCAATCCTAGCTACGCGAATCTTCGCGCCACGCGTTTCCTGTCTACGCGCGCTGGCGAACGCGCGACGTTCCGGGACTTTGACGAGCTCGAAAATCAATTAAACAGAGACTCGATTAAATAAAGTTGAACGTGGAAGTAAGAATTAAAATTAGCATTTATCGAGAATCAGTCTTTAAAATTAGAATCTATTAAAGGCCATAATTATATGATAAATTTTAATTTAAAAATCTGCAATTGATTTTTTTTACGATATATAATTGTCGATTATGATCTTTTCGCTGCGTCTCTTTTATCTATTTCGTGCAATTATTAATTACAAGCATAAAATTAATCATCTTTTATGACAAAAATATGTATGTATCTACATTGCATGCATATTTCAGTTTTGAAATAAAAATGCACTCTAATACAAAATTAGGACGATATGAAAAAAACACATTTTTAACTTTGATAGATCTATAAGTCTGCAAATAAAAAAACTGGACGGAGATCAGGCTCATAAAACTTATTTCGTCAATCTTCCAGGTGAACTCATGCCACACGTCATACACGACGCTGTATATAGTCATTAAAATATGAATAGAGAAAGAATCACTTTCCATGGACGAGAATCAAGATATATGTTGGGCCATATGTAGCCTCGCTGACGATCAATATTTTTGAATGACAAGCTGACTGGACGTATGCAAAGAAGTGTTTTCCTAATCGATAGTTCGGATAAAGGATCGGCGCGGATTAAAAAGCTGCAATTATGAATTCAAAGCAAGCGGAAACGTGGCTGGCGGTATTGTACACCGGATCCATGGTACTTTGTGTCACGTCTGTCGTATCGCTGGTCACCACATGGCAGAATTGGAAAATAACGTTAGACGGCTGCATCGATGTCAATTGCGGGTGCATATTGTACGGCATCAGTACGTTTCGCACGTTCCTCGGCGGCGACGAGAAGCTGTGCCACTTCGCCGCGTACGCCCTCGCGCCTATCATCGTGATCAGCTTGTGTCTCGGCGCCTATCATGGATACAGGTGTTGCATACATAAAAATTTGGACGAGCCTAAGCGGATTAATCAGGGACGAGTGTACGATGATGACAGGTGTTTATTTTTCTCATTTCTCGTCTATGCAAATTATTAAAAATTTATTCGCTCGAAGTGATGGTTGAGAAAGTTTTTCCAGACAGTCTTGCAAATAAGAAAGCAAAATTTCTTTTTTTTTTAATATGAAACTTGAAATTTTAATTTAATTAAAATCTTATTTAAATAGCATTTAAAAGTTAAAAGCTTTTGACGTTAAGTTCAGAGAGGGAAGAGAGTGAAATATAATTGAATCATAAAATTTCTCATTTTTAATTCACAGTTATATGTGTATGTCTTTTTAATAAAATTTTTCTTATAGAAGAAACCTAAATGGACACGTCGTGATCCATACGAAAAACCGAGCAACTTTTAAATGGTGGATGCCCGTTGGTTTCCTTGCGGCGTTCGTCTGCTGCCTGTCTCTCGCCCACGCGGTCGTGATAACCGACGGCTACTATAAAACTTGCGAGCAATACAGACGAAATCTCATTCAACTCTTGGGTTCGGGAGGCCGCGAAACTTTAGTAAGATCACCATCCTACGTTTTCTTTCGGCTTAAATAATTTCAGCGGCCGCGAGCCGGTATATTCCAAAAGTAAATTGCGATTTTTGAAGAACTATTTTAGGACTGTCTATTTTAATTTGTATCATTGTGTGCGTATAGGCGATTCATAACAGGCTACCGTGCGGCGCGATTTTCGATTTCATGGATTATCTGCAGCCAGATAGGAATCACTGGAGACGCAACGAGATGAACACCACGATTGCTCTTCAGCTCGCAATATGCACGAGCTGGTTCAATTTTTTCGCTTGGCTGGCCTCGTGCTCGATAAATTTCATCATGGCGAGGAAGAAGCAACGTAATATAGGAGAAAAATTCTGCTGTTGTTGCTGTTGAATGACGTCCTCGGTAAAATTAGTTGCGCGATAAATTTGACAGCTATTATTTTTGCCAAATATAACAGATAGAAGTTTTTCTCTTTCCTGAAGAGATATATGACAGGGCGCAAGCGTAATATAATTGATGCTCATGTTAATATATAGTATACGTTTTATTTATGTATTTTATACAGAGATAGTGTCTTCAATAACTATTTTCCTCGTATGCCTAATATCAAAAAAATTAAAGATTCACCCGTTCTGCCCGTGGAAAATAATCGCGTCCCTCTCATATTTTATATAGTCGCATTCTCTTTATACATTTTTACATGATTTTCTATATTACACATACGCAATTGTGTACATACATTGGAACCATATATTTTTGATCGTCCTAAGAGTAAAAGTTCGCACTTTTAAACTTAGCATAAACGAGAACGCGTGATTTCCTTTGTATTATTACCTTGCCGAAACACGATAATTATTTACGTTGTTGTCACTCATGGATAAATGGTAAAGAAAAATACTGTAACACCTGTTAGTGCAGGCAGTGATACGAAATTCAAATATAACTAATAAAGTATCCGTAAAACTTTCCGACATACACATTTAGGATATTCATTTCATCTCCTGCACGTATACATGAGAAAACGAAGAAGAAAGAACCTATATGCCATACAATAAATAATAATATATGAAAATTTAAAGAAGGAATGTATCGTATCTATACTATGTACGTACAATCATATAGAATTTATACAATCGAATTATATTCTTCTTGGGATGTTAAATTAAAAATGCTGCGGTATTTCCTAGCACCTAGCTCGTTCTATTTTATACATATGGTGCACAGAATGATGGAGTATATTATTTTAAGGCTTGGAATATAACAACGGTTCTTCCCGTATGTTCAATAAATACATTGAAATTATTATTTCTCGCGCCCGAATTCATCGAACTCACCCGTGTCGGTTCGCTGAAATTTAATGTTTAATTTTTTCTATTTGCATAAATCACTCTTACTTTTGTGATGACGGCATTAAAAATCGGTTTTTAACTTGCTATAGATTACATTACATCTCACCGTTATACATAGGAACTAAACAGAAAACAATTTCTCAGTTACACACTATCCCTTACATATACAAATACAATTGACTCTGTTTACCTTATAATACTATCAGCTTTTATGCTACACAACAGCAAAGACTTTGCAAGCTTGAACGCTACTAGATAAAGGAAGGCACCTAATCATACAAGCTAATATCTACAAATTATATTACATCTTTTATTTATATATATATATATATATATATATAGGTATATATATATATATATGTATATGCATGTGCATAAAAACACGTAAATTACAAACATTTTTTTAATAATATTGTCACATCTTTTTACACTGAACTAGATCCTTTCCGTAGAGTCGATTAAAAAGGCGCAGTATATTAGCAGTATAAAATTTCGTTAAATTAATTTCCAAAGTTATGTAAAAAACGTAGTAAAATTCAGCTGTTGAAATTGAATAATTTAATACAAGATTCTCTCTCTCTCTCTCTCTCTCTCTCTCTCTCTCTCTCTCTCTCTCTCTCAATGTAAGACAGAAATTAACGTTGATAAGTATTTCTACTAGTACTGATACACTATAAGTACTAGTATCATGTCTATTTTTCATACATTTTTATTTAACAGTCTCGATCATAATGGGCATGACAGTCGCGTTACCAGTATTTCGTTTTGAATAATTCGCGTAACGTTGTAGAATTATAGTGATTACTTAAAAAGAGACATAGCCATTTTACACGATGTAAATGTTAATCGAGACTGTTAAACAACGAGTCAGTCTTACACGATAAGGCCAATTCTCTAGGCGAGCCTTTGTTTCGCTCTTTTACGACAAAATGTTACGAATCGCTTCACAATTGCTATTATCTGCGCCTTTGTAACACTAATTCCTGTAAATTATCCGTTATATGTTAATCTTCGTAAGGAATACTCTGTTATAATCTCTTCTCCAAGAGATCATAAATTATATATATATATATATACCTATATATATTTATGTATATGATAAAAATTTTCTCTCTTTCACCGACTTTGCGACGAATTGCATTTATAGATATATATGTATATAGTACAGATTAACTTTCTTTTAGAAAAATTGCTTTGTATGAACTAGTAGATTGTACTAGTAGAAATCTACAAATTTTTTAAAGTACAAACGTAGTGAAAAGACTTAGCTGCAAAAATAGATGCACGAGCTTTCTCTACCTATTTTTATCATTTTTGGTATCGAGCTGCCAAGTTCCACAACCTGGTTTGTTTTATGTTAAAACATAAGTTGGGAAGTGTGTCTCTCTCTCTCTCTCTCTCTCTCTCTCTCTCTCTCTCTCTCTCTCTCTCTCTCTCTCTCTGTTTCATTTCAAAAATCAACAGTTTTTTTCAATATAATGTCTTTTTTCCGTCAATTTCTTATGGCTATCTGTGTTGTCTGTGTAAATCTCCTAAAAATGCAAAAAGTAATTAAAAAATGGTAGTATATGAATTAATACTTTCTGACATTATATAGTGTAAATCACGCTTTATACGACCCATCATACGTTTTTCAGTTAGGCATGTGTACATAAATATATCTGCTTATGCTGTATGCATGTTCTGATATAAACATATGCAGCTGTTGGCTGCTATCACATCACATTGTCGACGTTTGTGAAAAAAAATGCACATGATCGAATAATTTTGTTAATTCAAGAGCAATTTAAGCATTTAAAGAAATAGCTTCTAATAAACACTGTAGCACTCGATATTTGGTCTAATCGTAGACGAGAAAATTCAAATTTAATTTTTGCAATTTTCCATAAGAAATCTACTAAATAAATTACATTTCTCTGGTTTATAATTTTTCACAAACGCGCTTTCCGAAAACAATTCTAAAACAGGCATAACTTATTCACTCGGAATTTCACTCTGGCGTATTTGCGCGTCCGAAAAGCAAATTGCCTTAAACGCAAACGTTTATCTATATATATATATATATATATATATATATATCTATCTATATATATCTATATATATATATCTATATATCTATATGTATCTATATATATATCTATATATATATATATATATTTTAACACACATCTATATATATATATATATATATTCATATTATATTATATATCTTTCTACACATTATGTATACTCACACGTACGCTGTCTTTCCCTTCGTTCTTCCCTTCGCTTCATACCTATATATTTATACATATTAATCAGCACAATGCCAGTAACAAAGATATTACACACGTATATATACACGCACGCACGTATCATACTCGTTGACATAATGGATATTTTAATTGCTCGTTCACATACCGGGGATAAATCACGGGGGAAACATTCGCGGTTTATCACCGATCCGGTCAGAAAATTAACGAGAGTTAATTAATCTGAGTCAAAATCTCAATCGCAAGCGTAAAGCAAGTGTGTTTCGTCGATTTTTTGTTAAAGCGTAAGGTAACAAACCGGCTAGATTACACTCCAGCAGAGAGAAGTACCTTTGCACCGCGATACTTAAGAAACGATTCGCGTAAATTGCGGCATTAATTTCCGTACAAAAATCTAATTTCCCATATTCCAGCAAGATTGCACGTTAAGTACTTTTCTTTCAGCCTCCGTTCAACGATCGCGAAATCTTTTTTCGCCGCGGTGCAAAGTTGCGACTCCCGGTCGCGACCGCGATCTAATCTTACACCGACGGGGTGTTCGACGACGAGAAGGCGTATCGAGCATTCTGCACTTAAAACATTTTTGCATTTCTATGGGGAAAAATGCGCGGAACACGCTATTTCACGGTCGATCCTCCGCGGGAACTTTATGCCGTAATGCGTCATTGTCGTGTAACGAGGCGCGCTCCTGGAAACGCAACGGCTGTACATCACTGCCTCGGCAACATCGAGTTAAAAAGCACCCTCATTATTCGCCGTGAACAATGGCGGCCCTCCGTACAAATGGCGACCGTATACGTACGCACGATGACACGACGGTTTTCCGGCGTTCTAGCGACGGTCCAGCGACGAGTGACATTTTTTAGTTGCCGACGTCCAGAACAGACAATCGGCTCTCGTCTACCTATACGGAGTCGATGTAACGACGTCAATTCGGGAATGAATCTTTCTGTCAAGTACCCTTTTTTTTCTTTATTTTTATTCGAGCCTGAAATTTCGCGGGACCGCGCCGTGTCTGAAAGATCATACTGTTCGAATTTTTAACGTGTCTAAAATTTCTAAATATATTTTGATAAGTAAACGTGCAGAAAATATGTGCTAACGTCTTAATAATCGATAAATGAAGTTGCGAGGCGAGTGAGTTGTAATCATTGTCGCACACAATGAAATATCAACTGCTGGACCTTGCAAACGTTTCTTTTTCTTTGTTTTTTTTTCTTTTTTTTTTT